TGTGAAGATTACAAACCATAACGCCAGATACAACCTTCTGAGCTCAACCCTCCTAGGTACGCATGCGACTATTGCAAAGATTTTGCATGCCATCAGATAATTGGCTCGGTCAGTGGTAACACAAATTGTCTACATTCTCAGCCATCATAGATTCTGGAGCGATTTGATATTGTCGATATCTGCGTTGATGTGCGCAAATAAAGATGTTTTGCTAGGTGTCATTTGATACACAATATCGTGCATTGCAGCCAAGAGCACCAAAAGAATGATATTACGGAATTGCTAGCCTCCCAACCAACGCTGTCCCGGACAAGCATTTGGTGAGATGCATTGTTCCTATACACCATTTATTGTACGAACGCTGATATTTGATGAAGCCGAGACGCACAACGGAGATTAACCCAAATATGCCATTGCTGAAGTGAGACACCCTCCCAGCCCGTTCTAACAATGGTAACATGCACGTCAGCGACGATCTGTAGGTATCTTGGCGTCGTGAAGATACCGAGCAGAGGTTACGTGTGGCAGCCTTCACTAGTTGACACACATCTCAAAAGCTGCGAGCATGTCTCAGCTACGCTCATCTGTGCCCTGGCTTTATACTAGAGAGAAACCATCTCACATTTTAGTCATAATGCGCAACCAGACAGAGTGCGACGTGCAGACGACACAATCTTGAATTTTCAGACCAAGCAGCAGCAAGTATCGTGTTAAATATTACCTCAAACAACGAGTGGGAAACCCCTGGATCCGTGGAACTAGGTCTCTAACATACACATCAACAACAGAGTGTTGTTGTGGTCTCGATCTGTAGGGACCTACCAATCCCGATTTTTGCAGTACCTTGCACTCGAACGCGGAATGTCCAGCGGACAAGTGAACTTGCAAGACGGGTATGGATGATCCAGAGTCAAGGTTAGCTTTGCTTCGAGGCAGCGGCCCACGAAATATAGCACCTGGTGATTATATAGAACCTCGGCAATCATGATATTTTTAGAGACCGAGTGACTTGGAATAATGCGGTCGGCTGGGCGTTCATTGACGATTCAAACAACACGTATTCTACCAGCATAACTTGGCAACCAACCGCGATGTGGATAGCTTTAGAATTTCCTGCTCATGTTTTAAACTGAGGTTCTCATCCTACAGGCCGGCTTTCAAAGTTATCACTTCGACCAATGTCCATATGTAACAGATGGGACATTAATGAGGTATTATACGGACTGAGCATCACCAAAGTCCCCCAAATGGCACTATAGCCAGTCTTTTCTTGCAACTTCCAAGGGTTCCGGAAACTTGAGCCTGCCAAAAAAGCCAAATTTGCATCTGTTGTATGATACTCTCTTCCAAATTTCCATCCAGTTGGCCGATTGCAAGTTTTAAGCACATTCAAAGCCCTAACAGTGTTACAAGGACCATACGGACATCTGCTTCGTATTCATCCCTGCCTCCAGCCGGCACAAGTGATACAAAAAAGATCGATTACTGTGATGGGTTGTGGCTTCGAAACCAGACCATGACCAATTTAACTGATTCTATGTCTTCATACTATCGCCTCAGATTGTTCTCTAAATACCCTATGCGGAAGATTCCGTTGTTCTTGGATGTCGAGGTGGAGTAACCTCTGGGCAGTTACCACGAAGCCATAATACAAATCTTCACTGTACGTACAAAAACGCAAGCTTCGGTACAATAAAGCAAGTCGACTCAGCTCAGCACAAAATAAACAAAGGGGTACTAAGCATTATGTCGGTTGATATCGAATGGCCTGCGGTTAGTTAGGAAGACTACAAAATCCATCGCACTAGCTATGCATTTCCAACTGCTGTTCTCCTTTGGTTGTGCATAAGACGGCAATTCTGTGATCGCCCAAATATAGTCAGCCTCACCTCAGGCCTTGTAGAAGAGTTCAGGTGCTTCAACGGTTTTGTTTGTTAATTAGTTGAATCAAGGATATAGAGTGGACCAATTCCCACGATGAACGACACAACCTCTGGTACATGAGGATGCTGGCATCATTCTCTGGACTTTTTCGATTAATTTCCACACCTGAAATTTCGATTAGTTGTTCTCTGGAGTCGACACAATCCGGTTTTTATGCTGGGTTGGGACCCTTCATAGATGATAATGTGAAATCCAACATCAACACTGCTTTAATTCCTTTCGCATTTATTAAAGAAGACGATTTCAAGATGTTACTATATTATCCTTCTGAGAAGTCATATTTGTCAGGCTTCAAAAAGAATTATACAATGTCTCTATCGCAAAAGTCCTCCATTAAACTCTGTTAAAACTCCAAACAACGACCTGGGGACACACTCTGAACACATTCATAATGAAGACATGTCCTGTCTGCTCACAAAAACCCCCAACCGCGTAAAAACTGACTCATTGTTCATAAATGACCCATGATAGCCCCATGAGCTCACGGCCCGATCTCGAGCCAAATCAATATATCCCACTAGCACCAATCGTCGGGGGTGACATCGGCGCTGCAGTAGCACTTGCCGCCGGTGCAGGAGCCCATTCCACCGGAGCACTGGGTTTACGAAATCCACATTAGTAATACTTAAACATGTCTGAGGTATACCGTTAAATTATACTGCAACATGCGTCTAAATCGGCTGAAGGACAGTCATGGGCAATCTTGTTGTTGTGAACAGAGCGAGGGATAGCAGTTGCATAGCTAACATCGAGAACAAGCGGGATAAAGGCAAGAGTGAGCCTCATCTTGGTAATAGTGATTTAAATTGATTTTGGGAAGGAAGATTTCAATGTTAGAAGCTGAAGTTGAAATTGGAGTTAGATGACTTTTAAGAGGATCTTTCCTTGAATTTATAGCTCTCGCTCCCAACACTTTAAAAATGCCTCATAGTATTCAAACGTTATCACATAAAGCCTGCCTAGGTCGGCAAGAAGTGAGGAGGAGGATGAGTCTACGGTAATCACCTAGAGGCCGCTATATACAACCTTGATGACCTAGATGGTCGAACTTTTTTTCTTGGAAGCTCTGCCACACTATATGGGTGGATGCATCATTGCGCAGGTATACGGAGATGTGTTGGAGAAAGTCAGCAATTGATAGGCTACGGCTGGTTTCGTATTTACTAGTCATCTGCATTGGGTTGCTGAACAGCACTATCCTGAATTATTTCCTAGGAGTTTATGGCGTCACAGCATGGGGGAACTGTCGGATTATGGATACGATATATGTCGTTTTTTTTAAGGAGAGAATAATGTTTTTACGCCTTGGATATACCTATTAGGCTCAGCCTGCATGTGTCTTGTGTGTATGTACTGTCAGGGCGTTTGATGCATGTTCAAATAACGGCACAAAACAGGGAACAGACTGCAAGCTTTCAACCCCTGGAAGGATCGTTATCTCCTGAATCCACCAGAATATTGCTTTCATAATAAGACCGCTTATTAGGGAGAGTAACAACAGAATCTCACTTGCTCCAATGCGTATCATTGGACCAGGTAGGTATACTTCCTAGTTGGCCCTAATTCTTTCAGCCTCTACCTGGACACTCCACCCATTGGCCAATCCAGGCAGTCTGCATATTCCTGCTTCTGATCTGCACCAGTTAGTCAGCTTCGCCGGTATTGCCTCATATTTGAGCGCTACAAATATAACGTACAGGTGCAGAATCCTCAGTGATGTCCACATTCGTAAAGTGGCTGTCGCACATCTGTTAGCTTTGTACACAACAATCCCAGACGGGCCAAAAGACTAGCTTAAAGGCACGTACAGCACTTGGAGAGATATATATGGAGTGTTGAAAAATGAATATCCAGATATCCCGTCTAAGGTGACAACCGATACTCCTGCCAATTGATACGAACAGAGCTAAGGGCAAATACGAATGCAGCGTGACGAACACCTGCACGATCTACCGAAAATCGAAGAATATCGGGTCCAGCAAGGCGGAGTGTGTAGACCTGAGCCCACGACGAAGTTCGATCAGGAAAATGCTCCGGCCATGACGTTCCGTCTCCTTCTTTCAGTCGTCCGATGAGTACAATCGCGGCTTTCCCGAAACAGTGGCTGAATATACAACTCCACTTCGATCGATCAACATTCGCCCAGTGACCAGGTTGTGGCGCTAAGGCGAAGAAATAAACCGGGGTTTACCCATCGGATTGGATGGTAATAATGGCACACCCCGGAATGTTTTTGTTTTCAGGTAACAATGTGTGGAGTTATATGCAGGCATAACCATGACTAAGGAGTGCACAATATTGTTATGTGTTCCCGTGCTCTTAACAAAATGGGAATTGATAACTATTGGGTGATTACTGTCCAAATTCCGTCGGGAGCAACTAGCTTCAATGTATGTACATTAAAACCTGCGGTGTGGCGGACTAAGGCCGCGATGCCACGGAAACTAGACGCTTTCAGGGTTATGGACATGTACGTCCCAACCTGGTGTATTTGTTAGCCAAGAAAAAAGAAGAAAAGGGTAAAGACGGTGTCTACCATGTTTCCGTCGAGAGCACTTGACTGCTGTTTACCGAGGGGAAGTTGACAGGATTCCGGACGAAAAAAGCTGGCTGTTGAAGTCATTGTCAGATTCTTTCCCATGGAAAGGATCCTGTTAAACCATCCCTGGGCAATCTTGGAATCCTCAGAGAGCACGTTGGTGGTCAATCTATGGCTATAATTTGTCTTGATCTCGTCATGGCGCTTGATGAAGCGATTTACCGATTGACTCTAGTAAGCTTTTGACATACAATAGAGGCCATATCAAGCAAGGAGTCAAGGCAAAATCAAACAGGTCATCACAACTCATTGTTACACATAGTCGATGACAATGATCCTTGCGCGTGGGTGAAATTGCCCGCTCATTTACATTTTGGACATGTACCAGAATGTAGACATTAGAATAAGGTCACACGGTCAGCAATGTATCAAAATGCTGAAAAATCTAATTTACCGCTCACCTTTCTGTTGTTGGCTATACAAATGGCGTGAAATTCGACATTCCTTATTCTTCGACATGGGCTACACCACCCTATGGAGGCGGCTTTCGTCGCACCAGCTCAATATCATAATCCAGATTTTCTCCCTCATCTCCATATTCTTCGAGGGATATGACCAAGGCGTCATGGGAGGCGTCAACGCCTCGCCCACCTATATCACCGAGGTTGGCATTGGCACTTCCGGTGGCACCGTGATCGACATGACGCATCAAGGGGGCTTGGTCAGTATATATTATTTGGGATGCATCTTCGGCTGTTTTGTGGGCGGCTGGCTGGCTGATCGACTTGGTCGCATCAATGGCCTTTTCATTGGGTCAATTTTCGCTCTCGTGGGAGGTGCCTTACAGGCCGCTATCCAAAGCTCGGATTTCATGCTGGTAGCGAGAGTCATAACGGGAATCGGTACAGGAGGTAAGTAGGTGTTTGTCAAAATGGATGCGCGTGGCCGGCCGAGTTCTGACTCTTTTTGTGTATACAGCCTTGACGGGAATCGTCCCAGTGCTAGTATCAGAAACCTCCTCCGCCAATCATCGGGGAGGGTTTTTGGGTTATGTCTTCATCGCAAACTGTCAGCATAGCCTCCCTCATTAATTGAATCGTATACTGACAGCCAGCAGACTTTGGGATCTCGGTCGCCTACTGGCTGTCTTTCGGTCTGGCATTCATCAATAACGGCTATTCGGACGTCAGATGGCGCTTCTTACTTGCTTTTCAGTGCATTCCGGCCATTATCCTTGTTCTTTTTGTCAAGATGCTTCCAGATAGTCCTCGATATCTTGCCTCAGTAGGACGCAATGATGAAGCTCTCGAGTTACTGACTCTTATTCGAGGCCACAAAACGACTCCCGAGGAGTTGGAACATGAATATCTTGAGATTATCGCCACCGCAAGAGACAGCAAAAAAAGCTCTCCCATTCAATTTGCCAAGATCCTGGTTGGCAAGGAAGGTAGACCGGGGTCGAGCTTAAGCCGACGTGCCTGGCTCTGTCTGTTTCTCCAGATTATGGCATCTTGGACTGGCATCACTGTACATAAGTCTTTCCATGAATGCTTATAGCCAAGCACTTGTTAACAATGCTTCCAGGCGGTAACTGCTTATTCACCCGTCCTTCTCAGCCAGGCTGGATACAGTGAGATTACACAGAATGGCCTTGCAGGGGGGCTAAACACGATTGGCATCATTGGGACAATTATCAGTGCACAGATTGTGGACCGCCTTGGTCGCCGGCCCTGCCTTATGTTCGGGTCGGCAGTTCTATTCACTGTCGAGTTGATTGTAAGTCGAGCAAATATGATCCGATGCATTAAGGCTGATGAGATATGTATAGGCTGGATGTGTATACGAAGGCTCCCTTCATAACCCCGAGAAAGCATCGCAATATGCTCCGGCAGCGGTAGCAATGCTATTCCTTTTCAATTTGGGGTGAGTAAACAGGCCTACATATTCCAAAGCTATCGCGAATCAATTACTCACATAGTGGAATATACAGATATGCCGCGACATGGGGCACTGTAGCGTTTTTGCTGCCAACGGAGATTTTTCCCTCGGACTTGCGTGCCCAAGGTAACGGGTTTGGGATCACTGGGTGGGCAATTGGGGTCGGTATGACCACGCTGGTCAATCCAATCATGTTCGACAATATCAAGAGCCGCAGCTACTTTCTCCTTGCCGGCTTAAACTTGATCTGGATCCCCACAGTATACCTCTTCTACCCCGAGACTCGCAACCGGTCTTTGGAGTCGATTGAAGCCTTGTTCTCCACTTCCAGTCCATTCTATTGGAAGATGGAGCAAGCCTACCAATTCCGTGGCAATGTTATTGCTGAGAAGGACATCAATAAGGTCCCTGGGAAGAGCAAAAGTAAGCATGCTGAATCCCAGGGGCTTTCTCATCAAGAGGCGAAATCAAGTAATAGTATAGTATGCCCGTAGAATGGGCATACTTAATATAGAGAAAAATGTTTCCTTTGCATAAGGATATTGGTGTTTATCCATAAATTTCATTTGAAAAACTAAATAGCAGTTATCATTGTCAGAGCATTTAGTTGTCGCAAGGCAGACTCCGTAGGCTTGGAGCTGGCAATTTGACCATGAACATCGCTATCTATCAGCACCCAAATACAAGTGGCCGTGCTGAAATTCCTTTAATATATTTTGCACTACTTAGATACATTTAAGTGCAGTGTGTCCGCCTCTGCTAAGGAGTTATCGCTCATTCAACGCCCATTCATAGCATACCACACCCCGCAAAAAACACCACTGACGATGGAGAAAAAAGCAGAATAATTTAATACACCTGGTTCCTCCTGAATCTGGGTGTTACTTTTCAATCAGATTTCGACTTTATCACGCAAGAGTCTGACAGAGGTCTCGAACCATTGTCGCCGCATTTTGTACTCCGTTGTCGTACCAGTCTGGATCTCAGCTCAGTGTCCACCATTTCTAGTAACTTGCTTCGAAAGTTGACCTACTGTTACCTGCACATGGCCTCATTCAGGGCAGAGATATACATATTTGCCGTATATGCTTACATAGAATAATATACACACGAGAATCAATACACTATCAAAGATGCTGTAGCATCGCCATCGTCCAGTACTTGCCCCGTTTCTCCATCAGCTCGCTATGTGTTCCTTTCTCTATAATACATCCGTGATCAAAAAGGTAAATCATGTCAGCGTTGGCAATGGTATTCAACCGGTGGGCAATGGCGATGGTCGTTCGTCCTTTCATCGCAGTTTGTAGTGCACCCTGGACCAATTTCTCCGAGGCAACATCCAGGGCAGAGGTAGCCTCATCGAGTAGACTATATGGGACGTTAAGACGATAAACTCAAATGAAGATAGTAGGAAGAAGTCTTACAGAACTCTAGGATTGCGAAGAAGAGCCTTCGCGATGGCCATGCGTTGTCGCTGACCACCAGACAGTGTTGAGCCATTTCCAGAGACGGGGGTGCTCAGATTATGTGGAAGGGATATCTTGTATCCAGTCAGTATAGATGGAGTCAAACCACTAGACCGCAACGTACCACAAAGTCATCCAAGCCAACACTCTCCAACGCCTCCATAATGTCATCATCTGACACTACATGATCATCGCTCTGCAAACACTCTCGTATATCCTCTCCAATGAGGCAGGGGTTCTGATCCACAAGTGCCAGATACCTACAGTAGCTATCCAGGTGATAGGCCTCAATATTATCATTTTCCAGCGTGATCCGGCCAGAATTCGGGGGATAGAAACGCTCCAGCAGATTGATCACAGAGCTTTTACCGCTCCCTGTAGCTCCAACAAGAGCGATGAAGGCGCCAGCTGGCACATCTAGACTGACGTCGTCTAGGGTCAACTGGGACGGACGTGTGGGATAGCTAAACCGCACACATTCCATTGCCATATCCGCTGTAGTAGTAGGAATGGATCTAGTACTAGCCGTCTCATTGGACGATTGCATGACCAAATCCTGGACATACACCTGCAACTTCTGAGCAGCCGCATGAGCGCCGGCAATATCCGGGGCATGCGCAAAAAGGGCCGACGCAGACTGCGACCCCCACACCGTTGCTGCAAAGCAGATGAAGAACTGCCGTATATCATACTCGCCAGTGGCGATGAGATAGACGCCGCCAAACCAGAATACAAATGCAATGCTGAGGATGCGGACTGACGTCGTGCACGCATACATAGCAGCCGACAACACCCAATAGCGAGCCTGTCTATCGTGGTCATACGCCCTGATAAAGGCTTCACTGATGACGGGCTGCAGGTTGAGGATAGTGACTGCTCTGATGGCGGAGAAAGCCTCTTGTGCGACCGTCACCGCATTTACCTGATTTTTGATATGCTTCTGTACCTGTGCAACGGTGTAATACTGTAGAAATCCAGAGACTGTGATGATGGGGATAGTAGCTGTAGCGGCGAGTCCTAGTTTCCACCCAAATGCACAGCCAACGACGATACCGGTAATCAGCATCAAAATGCTCTCAACAACCAGGCCGAGCGAAGTTCCGGAGACCCCATTTATTTTCTGGGTCTCCGATGAGAGGAAGCTCACCAACGCACCAGTTGAATGATCTGGTGTCTCGAAGAAGGTGAGATTCTTCAGAACTAGCGATTTGAACAGGGATGAGCGAGCGCGAAGATTGAGCTCCGACGCAGAGACAGCAAAGCAGTATCCTCGTATACAATAAACCACGAAGACCACGATTCCGTAAACAAAATATATCAAGGCCCAAAAGTGAGCCGTATGACTGGCTGTGCTTAATTGAGGGTTAATGATAGATATGATCCCATTGCCGAAGAAAATGGCTTGTATGGGGTATGTCATGCCCGCAAGGATGCTGAAGATAATCCCGGCGATGATATAGTACGCCTCGGGCTTATTAAGAGACCAGACAAATTTGATACTGTTCCTGATGTTGGATGGTGAAGATGTATTGTCGGGAATTTTAGTGACAACAGGGCTGACTAGAATCTCATCCACCGGCACCTTGGGTGTCCTGGCTGGAGAATTGAGTTGGCTGCGTGCTTTCCCGTCCTGCTCGTGATGACCATAGAATCCATTACTAGACCAAGGCGCCTGCTGCTTGATCAGTTTCTGGTAAATGGCGGACTGGGATAATAGCTTTTCATGAGACCCTTGGGCTAGGACCTGGCCGTCTTTGAGTATGATAATCTTGTCTGCGTTTTGAACGGTCGACAGCCTGTGGGCAATCACGACGGTCGATCGTCCGACCATGGCATGATTGAGAGCCTCTTGTACCTCCTTTTCACACTCACTGTCTAGCGCAGCCGTGGCCTCGTCAAGCAATAATATCGTGGGCCGACATACAACTGCGCGAGCGATAGCGAGTCGTTGCCGCTGACCACCAGATAGATCCAATCCGTTAGCGCCGATTATCGTGTCATACCCGTGGGGAAGACCTAGGATGAAAGAATGGATCTGGGCTGTTTCGGCTGCCTGGATCACCAGGTGTCTCACAGAAGATGTGTCCTGGTCCTGGCAGACCAGTGAGTAAACGAGGCGGCCAAGGTGCGGTTACCAGAAAAGTTCTTTACATACCTCAGTAGCAGATCTAGGGAGCCCGTATGCAATGTTTTCGTGGATTGATCCGCGAAACAATGCAACCTCCTGATCCACGTAGCCGATTTGTGACCGCAGCCACGAAACGTCCAGCTCTTCGATCGGCTTATCATCCAATGTGATACAACCACTGAGCGGGAGGTACAATCGTTCGAGAAGACCAAATATAGTAGACTTTCCCGACCCAGACGCACCAACCAAGGCTACTGTGGATCCAGCGGGTACGTCGAAGCTGATGTCGTTGAGGATGATCCGCTCCGGTCTTGAAGGGTACGCGAACCTGATGTGCTCGAACCGAATCCGCCCTCGGACGGGACTGACCGTGCTTCCTGTCTCATGCATTGGATTGATGGGCGAGACTCGCTTGATAACCGAAAACACGCGAGCTGCTGCTGCACTGGCCTGAGTGATGGACACTATGAAGGGCAGCACTTGGCAGAGCATGCCGCCAGCGACAGTGGTTGCATAGATAATAGTCAGGGCTTCCGAAATGCTACAGCGACCCTGGCGAAAGAGGTAATCGGCCTGCCAGATCTGTGCGGAAAGAGCAACCGGAAAGTAAATTATCAGTGGAAATCATCAAAGACAAGCATGGTTATCGACATACACCTAACCCGTTGGCCCAGTGCAAGACGGTAAAGGAGCCTCCCACAATCATCCCAAATATCAGCCGTTCTCTAAAGTCCAGAGCGGCCGGAAGCTTCAGGCTATCGTGGTACTTGCGCGAGAAGCGCCCCTGGCTCCTGAAGGAGATGACGCTTCTCATCGCACCGAGGACTTCTTGGGCCAAATTGTTGGCTTTTACGTACTGAGACTCATACCACTGCTGGGTTTGGCTCAACCAAAAGCCTAAAACCCCCACCAGTAGGAGAAGAGCGATTGGTTGGGAGAACATGATGCCTGCAAAAGGACGATTCCTGATGAACGCGATTACAATCGCAACTACGAAACCCGACACGCCCGAGAGAATGAAGGCCACTCTCTGTGATATGCCCCCTTGTATAAGTTTTATATCGGTGTCTATATGGGAAATGAGTTGTCCGGTGCCGATAATATCGAAGTAAGCGATATTCTGCTGCAAGACCGAGGCCAGAAGTCGCCGTTGAAGATCCGCGGTGATCGCTTCGCCTACCACATTGAAACCCCAAGTACTAACCAGAGTTGTGGCAAATGAAGCGATTGCTGATCCAGTGCGTCAATCGAGATACTTCCCAGCGCATGATAGAGAGGGAATCCTACATACCTATGTAGACTAAAAAAAGGGTAAGGTGCTTTACCTTGGCCGTAATATCATCAGACCCTCCACGGCCATGCTGGACGGCGTCGATGAATTCATCCACCAGAGCTCCGAAGACAACCTTTGATGAGAGTAAGTTTATTTGGTTACCAGGGCACGAAGAATGAGACTTACCGTCACGAGAGGCATGGCCGCACCAGCAATGACGGCGCAGCACGCCGAGACCAGCAACGCGCATCGCTGCGATACGGTTGTAAAGCTATAGACAGAGAGAAAATTTGTACTTTTCGGCTCGACATGGACCTGGGATTCAATGATCTCTAGTGAAGTGGAAGAAGCACCAGCAGTCCGCTGAATGTCCTGGAGCAAAATGTCTTGGGCCGACATGCTTCTTGCCCGTTTCTCTCTGGTAATCCCAACCACGCCTATTCGATGGCGATGTACAGGGCCTGTTAAAATAAATCATTTTTATGTGAACCCTTCGGTGAGCGAATTAAATTATCTGACTAGACAGCTTGCCTATCGGTTGTGACCGGAATGTATCATATGCAGGGGGTTGCAACAATTCTTGGAATGGACAGAAACGATTACCCACCCGCTAGTACATGCAAAAAGAAAACATCCATAGCTAGCTGGGATGCGTCAGCTTGCTTGAAACCAGCCTGGAAGGGGTGGACGTGTTATTTGTATTAGGGGATCATGGTATTGAGATTGAATTGGAGTCGTGGTCCACCTGTCTAATGAACGAATCTACTCTTCACATTTAACACTTTGAATGGACTCGCTTTGAAGCCTCCTAACATAGTCTTCCAAATTTGCCAGCTGCCGATAGATTGCTGGCCAGGCCTCGGCTCGCACACTCGACGTCAACCACCAATCCCCCGCGGAGTCTTTCCCTACGACTCGAAAGACATTCCGTGTTGGGTATTTCACACTGTGTTCAATTATATTGATATAGGATGGTTGGCCAAGCCCATAAGACCGGCCTCTCAGAGGCACCCCTGGGGTCACCACAGCCGCTGAAAAGTCCACCTCAAAGAACCTCGCTTTGTGGAGGTTGCTGCAGGCAAGAAACAAGAGGTCAGATCCACCAAGTAACGGGGCGGTCATTCGGAATGAAGCGCGCTGGATGGCAGCCAGAGCCTGCACCTGCTCCCGGGTGCGATGCTCGAGGAGGGCCCGGCGCGTTTCCATCGCGACCACTCCGATGGGCTCTTGAAGAACCCGGTGCGCCGGAAGCACGGTATAAGACGGGAAAATAGCATTGCCAATGTATATACCACCATCGATAAGCCATTCTGGGAATAAACTGACGGCATTGAAGACGGTCATCATCATAATGGGCCGGTTGAAGGCGGGCCGGAGAGCCGTGACGATGGTCCTCATCCACCATGAGGCCAGGATATCGCCCTCGCTGAGGAATGGAAGCTTAGACACATCACTCTCCTCGGCGAGCTCTCTCCGTGCAGTATCCCTCATGTATTCCACCGCGCCACCAGACAAGCGGATGGCGTGTTCTTCTTCCTTCCGAAACCACAGCAACTCGAACGCGTATCGGATCCCAAATATTATTAGACTGAGGCCTCTGACAAGCCGGTCAAGATAGAGATACTGATTCACTGGTGTGTCCCGACCAAGTGAGGACAAAGGGTCGTGTTCGTAGCTGTGAAATGGAGGCACCTCATTCTCTTTACCATCCAACACCGTGGTCCACGCCTGGAGAAAGCCAGACCGTCCGACGGTGTCCATGAGAGTATGCAGATAAGTCATGGTTAGCAGTGTAGCATCCTGAAATTGCACCACATGGATATGGAGCTGCGGATGGTCCGAGTAGATCCAGTCCTCCAGGACCCGAGGGGAGTCTGCACTACGAACCAAGGGGCCGAATTTTGCGGCAGGAGGCACCCGAAAGACCTGTTTCTGTCCCGTCTTTGGCAGTTGTGAGCCTATAGGGTGGTCGTCAATGTTTACGGTATACTCTGTGGTAGTGAAAACGAACGCCGGGCGTGTCTTATCGTACTGCGCGGGGATGTGGTGTTCCAGCTTTCCATCATTCTACATCTTCGTCAGGGTGCTGAAGTTGGGGACGGATTAGTTGAAAGAAAGGACATACATTCAGTCGTAGACGCGCTCCTAGCTGCCCCCAGTCCCCGATCTCCATCAGACGCTCCAGCGCCGCCCGCAACTTGGGTATGTCCAGCACATCGTCGAAGCGTAAGGTAAAATCATGGGCAAGAGACCGTAGATGCGACAGGTCATCCCAGAAGCGCAGGGGAATGATGCGGTCAGTGGGAACCATTGGCGGTTGACGGCGCCGGAATGTCGCGAAGAGGCCCATGGCAGTAATCTTAGACCGACAGATACGGTTGGGAGAATGATGCCAGAAGGAATCAAATAAGGTACGTAGGTCTCAGGATAGTATAAATCTCACTGCAGCGTAAAGACTCGAGATATGCAGACATTTACAGCCCTGCGTAGTCCGAACAATCCTCCTTTGTAGACAGGAAACATAGTATCATATACGGTTTGTCTTTGGTCTTCTGATTTCTCCTATTTAATGTGCCTTACATGCAATACTAATAAATAGTTTCAATTTATCATGTGACGAGTTGGCACAGAAGGAAGACCGTACTTCCTGCAAGGTAAACTCGCAGGGGGTCAGATCCTTGTCGAGTCGATGCGTCTGGCAATAGCTCGTCCCAATAGCCATTTTCAGGCTAGCTTCTATTGGCAAGTAAGCAGATCAACCTCTCTCTATCACAGCTACCGGTGTGCAGGGTGCCTTGTGCGACCTGCTTCGGGGCTGGACCTGGGATACCAACGACAAAATTTCAATAAAACCAGCTGTAGGAGCTTGTTGCAGCCAAAACCATTAAACTAGCCTCAGCCATCTTCTAATAGTTCCGGGCTAGAATAAAGTGCGATAACAAAAAGCGGACATCGAGTCTCGGGTTATTAAAGGTGAATTTTACTTGAATTCCTCGACCTAGCTTCAGTACACAGCACTTGTTGATCCCGCGCTGCTTTTAACTTCCAAAGGCTTTCTTCCAATTGCTGAAGCAAAACGGCCGAGTGCCATCATGGGAAAGTAATGCGGGTACAAGCAATATTCTTGATAGAAGTGATTGGGGAATCCTACTCCAGTGAACGATCTCTCTGGCCATGAAGCACCATTTGCACCAGCTGAGACTTGCGTTTGAAGAAGATGATGAACCCCACCTGTAATTGCCGGGTGCGTAGGAGGAAGCGATGTAAGCAAAGCCATGAGCGCCCAGGCCGTTTGCGACGGTGTTGATGGCCCCTGGCCTGCTGTGCTAGGGTCTCGATAGGTTTCCAGAGATTCACCCCATCCTCCATCTTGATTCTGGATTGAGATCAGCCAGTCCACCCCTTTTTGTATCCAATCTCCAATGCGAGCGTCTGCAGTGCTTTGGGCAGATTTGTACTCTGCAAGACCGCACACTACGTTGCTTGTTCCATATATGAAATTGACACCCCAGCGGCCGAACCATGCTCCGGTCGTCTCCTGCTTGTTGGCGAGGAACTGCATGGCACAGTCAGCTGACAGCCTCATTGCGTTCTTTATGTCGATAGGGACATATGGCTTCGTGTGTGAATCAAATTTCATCACAAGACCAAACGCCTCCAAAATCCGCGCAGTGACATCTGCCTCAGACGGGTCGCACATGGCTTCCATATCGCTGAACGGTATGCGGTTGAGAAACAACTTGTTGTTTTCACGGTCGAAAGCGCCCCAGCCTCCATCGTTGTTTTGCATGCCCAGTATCCACTCAATGGCACGGAGAACCGCTTCAGAACCAACTGACTGGGGATCTTGTTTCACAAAAGCAAGAACTGCAGCAGCGGTGTCGTCAACATCCGGGGTCCAGACGTTGCAGTATTCGAAACTAAATCCTCCTGGCCTGAGTTTCGGGTTGAGGACCTTCCAGTCGCCTTGTGGTCCCAGAATCTGGCGATCTTTAAGCCACTTGGTTGATTGAAGAACATATTTGCTGTTTCTTGGAAGCCCCGAATCGAGTAGCCCAATTGTCATGAGGATTGTATCCCAGACGGGGGATACACAAGCTTGCATTCGTTGTCCCGTTTGATCGGACCAGATAAACCTTTGCAGACCTTCAAGTCCCCTCTGAACAGGACGAGACTTGATGTCATAACCTTCAAGGACGAGTGCGATTATTGACGCGTGCATTGGAGGGTAGTATCCTGCCCAACTACCATCTTCTTCTTGGTGTTCAAAAAGGAAATCGAGACATTGCTTGCGAGCATATGATCGGCATGGGAAGTTCCGCATTCCATTGACGGCGTGCAAAGCGCCATCAGTTAACGTGCACACCAATGTGACAAAATCCATCCGCCACGGCTTCCATAGACTTGGTGCGTACGGCGCATATTTATTTTCAGGATTGCACCATAGCTCGTCCAGGTACGTGTTATTCTCTGATCTTCCGTTAGGGAGAGCAAAAATAGGCCGGTGATGACTGACGAGCAGCAACGGAACGACCGTCAGTCTTGCCCAAGCTGACATGTTGTAAACGCTAAGCAAAACGGAGGGTGGTAGCAATATCAGCTCCGGAGGCAACTCTGGAACAGCTGCCCAAGGGACAAGACCAAATATGGCTAGAAAAAGGCGAGTAAAGATGCGCACTTGAGCCACTCCGCCTGCGGCAAGTATTGACTTGTTTGCTTTCACCATGGCTGGATGTTGCGGAGAGACACCTAGCAGTTTGAGAGCAAAATATGCCTCCACACTAAATGATACATAGCCAGGCATATCGGGCGCAAGACCCCAAGAGCCGTCCTGATTCTGTTCTGATAGAATCCATGATATCCAGCTTTCCGGTTCGGGTACTTGAAGGCCTAGGGCATGGTGCAGGGTGATGTACTCGGCGGTAATGGAGACATTGGATTTCACCTCACCACACCAGTGCCCATCTTCCCGTACCAGCTCTTTAGTGTAGTTTGCCGCCTGTTGTAAACACCGGCTAACGTCTGCGGCCATCGTGTCCGGCTTTGTATGTTCTGTTGTCATGGAGAGGAGCAATTTCAAGAGGAAAATGGGTTGAATAGACGAGGAAGCAAGTTCAATCAGCGACAGCGGGCTTTTTTGTGTCACTTTTGGTTGCTTTTTCCTTTGTTTCCCAAACCGAATGTGATATGTATAATTTATTTGGTCACCAGACCAGTTGCATGCCTAATGTACCTATATCACACCCCCTTGCAAGTTATGCATACATGCAAGATAGTCAATTCTGTTAATCATATATCCGTGGAATGTCTCCCTTTTAAGCGACTGGTATTGCAAATCAATACGGTGTTCGAGAATTGATCCCCAAGGGTACCTATTAACATCCATTGGCAGTAAAATGTTGTGGGATGCTATCTCGCAAGCAAGCGCCTTCATTGGTTGTGACATCTTTTGGGGGTGCCTTCTACTGACTATAGTTTCCAGGGTTAGCATTATTGTTTATCGACTACTCTTCCACCCTCTGAGATGTGTACCGGGTCCTAGGCTCGCAGCAGCAACAAGCCTTTATCTCCATTACCATGAAGTTGTTGAGCATGGGGGTCTCACCAAGAGTCTGCCCAACCTTCACAAGCTCTACAGTATGTTCTGCGTTCTTGGAAGTTTCAATAGAACTGACTCTCTTTTTCTTTTTTTTTTTTTTTTTTTTTTTTGGCAGAATCCGATATAATTAGAATCGCGCCGAATCACGTACATATAAATGATCCCAGTGTATACAGAAGGTCAGAATCACTTTCCACTGCTGTGGCTGACAATGCTTACTAGAGTGCAGGGTCTACGGTCCAAACTCAGTCTTTCGGAAATGCGGTCATTTCTTCGGCTCTGCTCAGGGCGTACACACCATCGTAACAACAGATGATCCCCGACGCCACCGCGATATGCGGAACTTGGCATCACCTTTGTTCTCACCACGCGGGATGGGCTACTGTTTTGATAGAGGGAGAAATCATATTCAGCAGGTCACAGACTCGATGGCGCGGAAGGGACAAGAATGCGAGCCAGTGGACCTACACAGTTACTTCCAGGCAATGATGGTCTTCTCAGCCCCTGCTGTAGTGTTATTGGGAGTCTGTTGCTGATCGAATACAGACCAATATTGTCGCAGAGACTGTGCTTGACTATCCAAGGCAGCTTGTCAGTTATGACGCGCCTACTTCACGATGGATGGCTGTGCACCACTTCATTAGTCGGTATCGTTGGCTTAGTGAGTGACCTATTAAAAGAAATGGTTTCAAGGATATCGCACTAATTTGAATCCTGTAGTTGGGGACATTCCGTGGCTTGTTCCAATTGGCCTGGGCTTACTCAAAGTATTCCCAGACTGGATTGGTGCAATCAGCGATGGCTTTAAGGACCTATATGAGGTACTTGATACAACCCTGCCTGTCTGAGAGGGAGCCTTGCTAAGTATTGGAAGCACTGCAAGATTGTCGGGAATGAGATCTTGACTACCAGGAAAATAAATGACCGCACACTGTCATCGGCCAAGCGCCAGTCCGTACTGCTCTTGGAGCATCATGACCACATACAAGAACTCACTAGGAACAATACTTCAGAGTTACTACAACAGGCTGCCGTGTTTCTGCTTGCTGGCACATCCCCCTCCATCACGCTAACCGTCGCATGTTTCTACATTCTGAAGTTGGCACACATAAGAGAACAGCTGCGAAATGAATTGGATTCACTGGAACGTAGGACACTGGATGTTTCCGCTCCGCAATTTGACTGGCGGGAGCTTTCTCGGCTGCGTTATCTCGTAAGTGATGATCATTTACATGGTGAGCAAATAAGCATCCGGGGATTGTTAATCTCCTGAATAGGATGCTATCATTAAAGAGAGTCTACGGATTATTCCGCCAATTCCAGGCCTTCTGCCAAGAGTAGTACCTTCTCATGGAATGGACATTAGGCATCATTTTATACCAGGAGGAGTAAGTATGCGTCTGTGCCCTTTGGTTGTCTTGTTCTACTATTTATGGTCTCCGATCTATTTAACCAGACGTTTAACAAGCACAACAGACACGCATCTCCGCAGCACATTTCGTCTTTCATCATAACGAAAACATCTTCCCTGAGCCTGGACACTTTGACCCCGAAAGATGGCTTCACAAGTCTACCGAGGAGCTCCAGACCATGGAGCAATACTTCATGCCATTTAGTAAAGGGTCCAGGGCATGCATTGGGTGGCAGTAAGTCTCATTGAGAGTCATGTTTTCACGTTTTGACAAGATGCTGGGCTAACTCCTTAAATAACCAGGCAGGCATATGTCTACATGTTCACCGCTATAGCCTATATCTTAACTCGGTTTGAAATGAAGCTTATAGGAAACCCGCCAGACAACTTGAACTGGAAAGATCAAACTGGGGCGGTTCCGGTAGCGCCACCTCTTGTTTGGCTCAGGTCAAGGAATCGGACTTGATCGGTACGTATTGGACTGGCATACAGATGCTTTTGATGTCACCTTCAAAGCTGGATTCATATAAAACAGAAGATTTAAAACACTATCTCTTTCTCAATCTACATTAAACCTTATCCATGCATTTACTGGATCCCAAATTGCACCATTAATTCGACTTATCAACCAGAAGCTTTACGACTCACCCCTAAGGAGAAACTTTGAAGAAGCTAAATTACATTTCAAATAACACGGACACTAAACAAATGATATGGTATCATAAATACTAGCTGGTGCTTTCTTCAGAGCTGGGATTGAACAGTATTGTACTTCAAACTTGTTTCTCGCATATGCAAGTGCTAATAATTAACCGACCAAGATACAGTGGGTGCCTTTTTATCAATGGCTGTGCTCTAAAGTCAATATATCAAGCACATCAAGCACCGGTCTCAGACTGAACATACATGCTGTCAGCTCTCATTTTATTCTAAAAGCTGGGTTTCCTGTATATCATTCTCACCTGGGTGACTAGCACTGCTGATGCAATCTTCTGGGGCCTTCCCCGCAACATCTGGTTATAAATCACACACTAACGATCTTTTTAATATCCTAGCCAAGCATTACAGCCCGGAAGTCATCCTAATATTCGACTCGCAGCCATCACATCCCTATATGAAAATACTTTGCAATCAAGTCATAAGGTAAACAATGATAGAAATAGTTGCTGCTGTCCTCTGCTTTGTCTCGCCATATTAAATCCCAATTAAATAATTTGCAATTGTGAGACGGAGAACCCTAAATGTGTTCACAGGGGCGAATTCCAGGGTGGTATTCTATATTTCACGCGGGAGCTGAGTCCAGGGCATCGACTGGGATGGTTTTGTTGCTAGGGCCACGAATATTTGATAAGGGATGTAAAGTCTTCCGGATTGGTAATATTTAGTCTGCTAAGCGTTCAACTACATTCTTTGTAGTAAGCACACAGGAACTCTGGCAGCTTACCTCAATAAAAATATATGCTTCCAGGTGATGTCCACATAATGGCAACATATAAGTGCATTTACTCATTGGGGCTTGAAAGAAGGACATCGCAACACTTGAAGTTTTTTTAGTGAAGCTCCCATGATGAAGCTGGCTCAGGGAGGTACAGAAACCGAGCACATTCACCATTAGGCATAAATAACATTATCCTCATTCTTAAATTAGTTAACTAGTTTTCTATGTTCAAGAATCCCTGGTGATCTCCATCCACTTACCAAGCCTCAAGCGATGCAACATACAACCGTACAAAGTACACATAAATGCCATTAATTTCCACATTGGTGGAGGGAAAATATCTCACCAGTCCGGAAATTGTTTGAATAGTAATTAGTAGCCGTGGAACACTGGTTCCCGGATGGGTAGGGGAAAGAGCGGACCCCAATATTTAATATTATTTCTGAGAAGGCTTCGTTTACACCAAACTACTCAAAACGCCCATAGTTCAATGGTCGATGCTTCTAGTCAAGTGAGGCTCAGCTGAGAGCTGAGCATATAAGATGTAAACCCCATGCATTTCGGCTATAAGCAGCACAAACTATTGAACTATGGGCACTTGGGATAGCTGAATAGATGCACCCTGTAATCACATCGCCGCTCGGCCGCACAGCCGGGCGAAGTAACCTTCTGCCCAAGGCTACGGGGTAGTTTTTCAATTATAAGACAACTGAGCATCCGAAGACTTTAAGTTATAGTAGGGTACTGTATATATACGCGAACTTTTTGATAGCTCGTCCATTGGACCTGTAATCATGTAGCTTAAGAATTGGGTATCAGGGAGTCGATATAGAATTATTGATCAATTCTCACATATGATCTAAAGATTCTTCGCAATGCATTATGCTAAAGGTCCAAGATGCCCACTTCGTCTGGCTTGCAGCTCTATTTTAGCTCGTTGCATTGGCTTTAGCCAGTACCCTTGTGTGTGATCTTCAATTCTGCATGTATAGTTACTTCATCGTGGCTTTATTCGCCTTGGCTCCGCATGTTTGTTGCACCATTACATTCGTTAGCATTTATTTGGAATTCTTGACCGATGAGCTTCGTGCATTCCATCCCTGGCCCCGGGGGTCTTGACAATATAGAATGTCTGTCAGTGAAAGAACATCGTCCTGACAAGAGTATCCGAGGAGAGATATGTCATAGAGTAAAGTGTTTCAGCTCGCTCAACATCAGGCAAGAACACAAGCTCTTTTAGATCGACTTCCATCTCAACATCCGTCGCGGCAATTATTTAGTTTCTTTCGACTCACAAAATGCGTGTGAGCCCCGTCCTCACCACCATGGTGCTTTTGACTATCGGCGCCGTTGCTATTCCCCTCCGATCAGATCATGGTATATTAGTCTCCCAGTTGCCATGGAGGAAGTGGTATCGATGCTGAAGCATCGCCTGGTTATACTGGCAACAGGGTTCAAGATACTAGAGCCAACAACGCCATCGATATAAAAAGCGCGAACGCCCATCATGCGAACCAGGGTTATGCGGGAGTTCTTGCCAATCGTCAAGCTGATGATGGTGATGATGACATTGACGCGGATGGACACGAAGGTGCAGATCACTTCCCTCATAGGACCAAGTGCCAGGAATCAGACCAGGGCTACTTTGGAGATGCAGGTGACTTTGGGATTTATCGCGCCAAGCGTGCTCTGACCGGCACCGACGCTTTGACTGGTTCCAACCGACAGATTGAGGATGGATAGGGGTCATACTACAGTGATGTTAGGTTGGAAGAAGAATGTTGTGCTTTATAGCTACTGCTGCAATATGTACCCCGGCTTTTATAGCCTTTGCCTGAGTAGTGTGTGGTGTAGTCATCATCTATATCATCGTCAACTGAATTTATATCAGGGCATGGATGTACATTATTTTGGCATTCCTCATAACCATAGTGGTAGATTATCTCAAAGCAATGCTCACATTAACAACATAATGGCTATTAATCAGTTCCTGAAGACCGGAGACCCAATTCACGAATGGGGCTCTCGTATAGATTTAGGCTTCCCCTTCCTCCTGAGTCTGAAACAGCACCAACAAGTCCAGCCCTCGAATTTCCGACTGAACGTTCTTCTCCATTGACTCAGAACAAAATCCAATGACAACTTTTTTCAGATTAGGAAATTGCTTCTCGCAGACATCTTCGACCTTCTGTGAACGAGGAATGATTCGCGCATCAGCGTACAAAACTACCAAGTGCTCTATTGACGCTGGAAGCACTTCCACCAGTCCTGTCCTTTTCTCGTCAGCCTGAGTATCTGCGGGATATGTCTCCATCACGGCTGACTGTGGATGTAACAGCCCAAGCAGACTTTGCATGCCACTCCGAAGCTTCTTCAACCTGTTGAATTGCTGCAACTCAGTCCTATGTACCATTCGCGACTTGCCAAATTATACCAAGACTGTTTTAAACGGTCATCGTAGTCTAGCATCGTGAGCTCCTCGAGCGTGCTTTTATGGCGCTTAAGCTCTTTCACGGCCTCCTGCGGCTTGAAATAATCCTCGTAGTAATCTACATTCCCGAAATTATAGTTGAATTCGCGGAGCGTTTTTTATCCCTGCACGAAAACCTGCATGACGTCGGTTCCCACGCCACTTTCGAGGATATGAATAATATTCAACTATGGACGAGCCATCTTGAAATCGGGATGGGCTGATATTCCCATCATTTAGCTGCACAATTTGCACCTCGTGCGCCTTGCTAAGAACACCCGCATAGTCCTGAACATTTTCCATGGCACACAAAACGTTGGTGGTCTCTATGGAGGATCGTTGGAAGTTGTCGATACCGGAAAAGTCGCCCGCATCGGCATGGTCAAAAAGGTCACATATCAGGTTGGTATAGGACCAGATTCTTGAGATTAGATATTTTACAGGGCAGGAGAGCAAGCATTGGGTTGCTGTACCCTTCTTTGATGCCTTGATTCAGGCGATATTTGAATTTGGCAAGGAGTGAGAGGTTTGAGACTGCTGATCGGAAGGATTGGATATCTTCCTCTGGGATTTCGCGAGGGTTACCTTCGTGTACATTCGAGGTGTGAAGCTCTTCAATGTGAATGGGTAGGTCTTGGTTGGTGAGTATAGCTCGCAGGAACGGGTTGTAAGGTTGTTGGCTGTGGTTGCAGTAGCTTCTCTAGAGACGCGAGGTGGTTAGTTGGTGGATTTGTTTGGACGTCCGAGATAGGCAAGAAAGGTCAGATTTGCTTAGGAGACTGTATATGAAGTAGGAAACATCTACGGGAATAAAAGAGAATTGTGTCATGTTGTGGGAGTTTATTGTGCGCAAAGAAAGTATTGGTCTTCATTTCATCTTAGCTTATGGCGCCGACGATATTAGTTAGTTAATGTCTGCCACAAGAGAACTGCTGACTCCGGGTTGAGTTACGGCCATGCTGAGTATGCGTATACTTATGATCACGCATCCAAGGCTTTCAAATACCAGGGAAAGTAATCGCCTGAGCTGCGGCTCTTGCGATAAAGTTCGACATAGGGGTAATCCACGCTCGTGAGCCACATCTGATTATGATACCTCTTGTATATCATACACTTGGCGTTAATTGGTGGTTATTTTCGATGAAGGGCTCGATTGCTCTTGTCATTTGTTTATTTTAGTTGCATATTTTGGCATAGATATTGAGTGCATGAGATTTAGCTTACACGCTGGTCCCAAACCTAAGCCCTAACGAGTGATCCTATTTTTAAGACGTTGATTGTAAAGATTTTTCATGGTATAATTCATTTATTCTTAAATCCACAAGTGGTCCTCAAGAGGCCCTAATGTGGCCTCACAAGGCTACAGTGAACCAGCCCCCTATCACTAACTATTCACCATGGCTGACTAGTTTGCTCGTTCTGACCATCCTGCAAGAGTATCCTCCGATACTTCTCAATTATCTCAGTGGCCAGCCATTGGCATTGTTTTTCATAGCGCGAGTAACTACAAAAACTGTGGAAAGTTTGCCGAAAGGATATGCATTCGCAAGTATCGAGGGGAGCTCCCAATGAAATGCTCGCCATGACAACTATCACCATGGTTCCAACAGCCCAACTGACATCCACAGCAATTAACACCCTGCCGCAGCCAGCTCACCAAAGTGGTAGTCATCCTATTGTAGCCAAGGAAGAATAATGACTGGAGCCATAACCAAAAAAAAAACACTTTAGAAGGAATGAGCATGAATACATTGACACGGATCGAGAAACCAATCAAGCGAGAAGCAACAGCAAGAATACCAACGTCCGACACTATATGTTCTCAAAAACCAAGTCAAATTTTCCCATTGCGCCATGCTATGTATACTTAAACAAGCATGAAAAACCAAAACAAACGGATAATATAGTATACTGAGAAATAGATCACGATTCACTAAGGGGGTAATATAAAACCGATTGAAGTTCAAGCTCAGCGCTGGATAATGGCAAGCAAAGACAGACTCTGAATCGAACGCAAAGATCTATTATGTATGTACTGGCACAGAAATGACGATTCAGATCAATCAATCATCTTTATAGCTCGATCCACCGGTGGCACGAGTCCTGCTCGTCCCGTTGCGGTCTCGATCCCCTAGGGCAGATGCGGATGATCCGGCACGGTTGTAACCTGGTTTCCTGCCGGGCTCCCCCAAGAGATTATAATTATTTCTCGATTCCAAGCCATCGTCCATTTCGATTAGGTCGCTTTCCGTTGTTGTAGGTTGCAGTCGCCCACTGCCTGGGTTTGAGGTGGTTTGCTGGAGTTCGTTGAAACCGGCCTTTGCGCGGGTTGTCACTTTCTTGAACCAGCCTTCGAAGGCGCCGCCGATGTTATCGAGGCTGTTCGCCGCGGTACCGTGCGTGGAAGATGTTGATTCGAAGGCGCCGCTGTCTGGGTTGGTGGTTGGTGGCGGCGGGGGCGCTAGGGTTGGTAGATGTTGGGACAGGAATTTGCTTAAGCCGTCTAAAGCGGGCCCCGGGGCCATTGTGCTGCGGTCTAGTGTGCCTACTCCTGGGCCTGCGAGTTGGATGTTACTGCGTTGGCGTTGGTGGCGGACGCCGGGCTTTTTGGACCCTGTCGCGCCCGTATGTGACCGGCTTGGTGGAACGACGGTAGATTGCGAGGACTGCGAATCGTGAAGGGAGGATACGGATGATGATGCCGTATTGGTTGTCGTTCCTTGGGATGTCGATGGCGATTCTGCGTCAGAGTAAGAAATGGATTTCCGGCGCGTACGCGGGAAGAATCCCAATGCCCTTCGAGGGACACGTCCAATTTCCACGGGATCTGTAAAGTTATCGATCTGTACCCATGACTCGGGCTTCCATACCCGGTCCCCTTCAACCTCGGTCGATGTCGCTTCTTTGCGATCTGTGCCATCTGGTGCTGGGGAGATCGAGCTCCCATTGAGGTCCTCCGTACTATCCAAAAGGTCTGTATTTGTCTTAGAACGGATGGGTCGCCCCTTGACTGAGCAAGAATCCACCGGTAGAAGAACAGTCTTCCTGCTCTGAATGCTATCGCTAGGCCAAAAGCCATTGGCCTTTCGAAAGATGGCTGGTTGGCAACCATACCGGATGGTAACACTGGCCATGGTGTCGGTCTTCTGAACATGGTGTATGTACACCAACGCCTCTTCATCCTGATCGGGATCAACGGCTGAGTGAACCGGGGTATCGTCGGAATCTCGCCGTTTGTGTCGAGTGCTGCCACTAATACTGGAGCCTGTATCCGCCAAAAGCAGAGCCTCCCGCTTCTTCGCCTGCACATACGCTTGCCGCTCCTCTCTCGTCCCAGATCCAATTTCCGGCATTCCTGGTGATGATGGCCCCCATGACGATGGCGTACTCGTTCTCGAAGCATTCCGCATCCACGGATCCGAACGAGACGGCTTCCTAGCGTGCGTCCGCGGACTACCATTGGCAGTCGGCCGTGCGATATCACTACCTAAAACCGAGGAAGCCAGACTCTGCAGCGACGACCAAGATGCATCCAGAATATCTACAGCAGCTCGGGACGACTCAGCAAATCCTAACTGATCCTTTCCATCATAACTGAACGCACCTGAAGAACTACCACCCCCACCATTCTGTCTACCACGATTATTCACGGACTCCGTAGCTCGCGAGGGATGACTCATGGGAAGGGGGGAAGCTCCTCTTGATGTGAACGGCGAAGGCGTCGCACCTCGAGATCGGGCAGTTTGTCGATCCGATGCAAGGCTAGAGGACAGCGCAGATGACGGCCGTGTCATTCCGTTATTCTCCTCCTCTTCATCATTGAACGAGACTAAGCGGCGTGTACGTGATCGGATTGCTGAGTTCGATCGTGAGGTTGTATTCGTTGCGGCACCGGGGCTGAGGCCATCGCGAAGGCCGCTACTGGAACTCATTCCCGTCGGTAGAAGTGTGGGTTGTGATCGCAGGATGTGTCGTAAATCGTTCAAATCACCTTCGAACCGGCTCTCTCGAGTTATAGACCGTCCATCGATGTCTCCTGGCAGAGATCCTTTGTTATTCGGCCGATGTTTCGCATCCGTGTCCTGAAGCTTCGGGGGGCAAGAGAGCGTGGGACTGCTCCAGAAGGCATAGATCGGTAGGGCGTTATATAATTGTGGGATAGGAATGATTAGAGAAATTGTCCGCTGAAAATCGACTCGAGAAACAGTGCAATAGTAAGGAGAAAGTGTGAGGTAGGAGTGAGGGTCTCCTTGATGATGTCGGCCGACCCTCGGGGGAGTGTACGTAGCCACAGGGCTGGGCGCGGGGAGGCGAGAGCTTCAGTACGGGGAAGTTGCAGCGTCTTCTACAGAGAAGATGGGGGAAGATGAAGATGAAACAAAAAATACAATGAATCAGGGAAAGCAGTAAATGCAATATTGGTATATAATTGTCAGGATTGTGTGTTTTCTGGGCGCCAAAAACCGTCAGGTGTTCCGGTCGCTGGATCGACACTCGCCGCTCCCAAAAGGGAAATTCGTACTATCTCGGCCATTTGTATGGCTCGCATTGGATATATTACCACGATACAATGCAAGATATGGATACAAAGGCATAATACACGGAGAATAATGTCAATCATTTGCAGTTGAAACTGAAATCCTCTTACTGAACGCCACGTACTCTTCTATATACGGAAGTCATAGAGATGGTACCCATTGCAATAGATAGTACAGAGAACGATCAGATAGTCTATCCACAAAAGGCTTGAAACAAAGTGGTATATCTCGTTAAACATGGGTGGCTCAGTGGCCAAGTAGAAAGAAGAATTGGAGGAATATCCAGAACATAACGCCATTTCCCTTGCACTGTAGATGGCTGGCATATACAAGCGTTATATGAAAAAAAAAAAAAAAAAAAAACAAAAGGAACGAGCGTGAATCAATCACGCTTACTCGGGAGGCTCTGCCATCTCCGTGGACGGTCGTGTACCAGCTTCGGATATTGCGTCGTCGGTGCTCCATTCCTTTTCCGAGGCCTGCTTGCTGGATTGGGATTGCCCTGGGGGAGAAATGATCTTAACACCTCCGGCTTGCGTGAAGAAATCCTCCGTTCGAAGGCCTCTGACGTTCGTCGGATCAACAGCAGTCATCATTTGGCCTTCCGCTGTCTTCTGTCGGATTAACTCTCGGACAGGAACCATGGCAGCATCACGGCAAGATTCCTTTATGTCGCTGCCGGACATACCGGCCATTCCCTTGACGAGGTATTGGAGATCGAAATTGTCAAAATCAATCTTGGTGTCTTTGAGAACGAGGTTGAGGATCCTCAATCGCTGCTCAGCCGCAGGGAGTGCCACAGGGAATTTCTTAGGCATCCGTCGAAGAATAGCATCATCAATGTCTTGGATGCGATTAGTAGCACCAAGCACGACAACACGCTGAGGTTCTCCTGACGAATTGGACGAGGTAAGACCATCCCAGTGTGTCATGAATTCAGCTTTGACCATACCACTAGCCTCGTGTTCACCGCTCCGTCTTGTGCCCAACACGGCATCGATCTCGTCGATGAAGACAATCGCGGGTTGCAGTTTTCGAGCCAAACTAAAGACAGCATTGACCAATTTATTCGAATCACCGTACCACTTCTCCGTCAATGTTGAGATATGCAAATTGATAAAACACGCTCCACTTTCGTGAGCAAGAGCCTTAGCCAACATCGTCTTTCCGCAACCAGGAGGACCGTATAACAGAACACCGGACGGAGCAGTGAGAAGGGAAGACGTCGAAGCGTAAAGATGGGGCATAGTTAACGGGTAGATAACGGATTCTTTCAACTCGTCAATGATCTCGGCTAGACCGCCGATATCTTCGAAGGAAACGGGAATGTCGTCGGGTGCCACAACGTCCATGGCAATTGCTTGTTCGTACTGTGTCAAAACCAACTCTCCCTTGCTCTGTCTCTTACCCCGTTTCCCTCCTTTTTGTGGTGAGCCATTGTCCGACTCATCGCTGCCATCCAGTCGTCGGAGGATAGCGGCTGACTTCTTTCGTTGTTCCTCTTTCTTCTGACTCTCGGGATCGAAATCAAGACGTGACAGGAGATATCTGATGAGGAAGTATGCAGAAACCGACTGTAAACAATCAGTTAACCATATTAATAATCACCCAAGCGTAGTTCACTCACTGTTCCAGCCACCATCACCAGTTCTTGTAGGAACTGCTGCCATCGTGCACTGCGCGCTGCCATGACCGCAAAGCAACCCAATTCAAAAGTCTTGAAACAAATAACTCGAGATAAACAGCAGTGAAGAAGATGACAGACACTCGCAACAAATCTGCACCTCTCAGGAACAATAAATAGCAACAACAGAGCCAATGTCCAGCGATGCGATCCAGCTGGCTGGCTGAGGTTCGTCTGTCGGTTCGGCGAACGAAGCTGTGGCGGTGATCGGCTGGTGTGTGGCTTGTCCGAGGAGTCACATGTGTGAAGGCGGTGAGAGCCTGCGCGGTTATTGTTGGTGCTGCTGTCGCGTAGACGAAGGCATACAAACAATCAGCTCTAATCTCAATTCAACTGTTTTCGAAAATGCCAAAGCGAAAGGCGACGACCAAGCTTTCTGGCCTTGTTGGCTCCGACGATGAGGATGTTATGCAGGTCAATGACACCGACAGCGGCCCCGATGCTGACATCGAACGCCCTGCGAAGCGCGCACGAGGAAGACCAGCTGCGAAAACTACGGAAGGCAAGCTACCCCCGTCAATGAAGACTCGCTCGGGGAATACTACTGTGCAGGCGCAGGCGCAAGAACCCGCTGCGAAAAAAAAGCGAGGGAGGCCGAAGGGGAGCGGAGCTCGTTCTTCGACGGACGGAGGGGAACAGGAGGTCTCAGAAAAGGAGGAGATCAAACAAACAAAACGATCAAGCGCGAAAGTGCAAGAGAAGAGTGACGAGGCTGCATCGGACGATGACCTACAAGCTCTGCAGGATAATGCCCCAAAGGCGACCAAGAATGCGAAGGATGCGAAACCTACAACTGACCGAGGTCGGAAGAAAGCCAGCAGCAATGTGGAAAAGCTCGTCAAGTCTGATGGTGAATTTCAATACTCACCAAATCCCCACAAGACAAAGTCTCTTGATAAACCCAAGCAGCGAACAGAGTCGCCCACGGAACAGGAGATGGAGGTTGATGAAGCCGATGACATTGTTCCTGAGAGCCAAAAGTCTGCCGGTGATGTTGTTGACGAGACGATTATCGAAGAGCCAGCATCCAGGCGCTCTTTATCTCCAACAAAATCCATCTTCCATCGGTCTTCTATTCCCCGTTTTTCCCTTTCTCCGCAGAAACGAAGACCGGAAGAGGGGAAGACTAGCACAGAGCCGGAGCTGAGACGTAAAATTGGCGATCTGACGAAGAAATGCGATACCTTGGAAAACAGGTACCGCAATCTTAGGGAGATAGGAATTGTTGAAGCAAACAGCAACATGGAGAAGTTACGAAAGCAGTGTGATGCGATGACGATTGGTATGTATCTCAGGCTCAAGGACTCAGAGAGAGTAGATGCTGATTAGGTTCAATTTACAGCTTCCAATGATCTTATTAGCTCTCTCAAGGAGGAATTGGAGGCCCAAAGAGCGCTCGGCCAGCAAAGCCGTGCGCTACAAAAGCAACTGGAGGACCGAGATGCGGAAATGACTCAGTTCAAGTCACAGGCAGAAGAGGCGACTAATCAACTTTCGGCCGCCCAGTCTGAAGTCAAGGCGTTACAAACTAAACTCTCTGCTGCTCGCAACACGGCTGCAAGCCTTGAAAGTGCTGCGGTGAAGGTCCCAGGAAGCGCTATCAAGGGTGGTGCGAACCGTACTACTGCTGCCGTGAGCGCGGAAGCTGCCCAAGCAGCACAGTATGCGCAGCTCAAGGAGGACCTCTATAGTGATCTTACAGGATTGATCATTCGGGACGTCAAGAAGAGAGAAGCTGACAGCCTATACGATTGTATCCAAACCGGTGGCAACGGAAGTAAGTTTCTGGACACCCTGTTCTGCAAATTCAGAGGATGCGCTAATCCAAGACTAGCACTTCACTTCAAATTAACCGTTCCCCATGTGTCCTCTGCCAACTTTGAATCAGCTGAATTCCAATACATACCCCTTTTGGACGAGAACCGGGACCGTGACTTGGTTGCTATCTTGCCCGAATATCTTACGGTAGACATCACGTTCTCCCGTAAACAAGCGTCAAAGTTCTATACCAGAGTTATTGACACGCTCACTAAGCGACGGAATAGCTCTTCTGCTTCTGCTTCTGGTTGATAGCGCAGCGAATGTTTCTTACTTGTCTTGATAGGGTTAGCCTTTTCGCATGGCAGGAGTCTTGGTGATACAATTGGATTCTCTTGAATAGATCAGGCGCTAGGTGATATCATTTGGCCATATATTTTGTTTATACAGACTGGCCCATAAACAACTTTACTACTTTACTTTAATTGTCCTCCGTAAGGTCCTCCAGGGGCTGCATAAAAGTGGACTACAGTGTACCGTAGTCCACCGCCGTGCTCCATCAGCCGTCTCTGATTGGCGGTGACACCGGCGAATGATGCCGCCGCGGTTTGGCAGATTAAGTGTCCTTCAAACATCCTGAGATGGATTGACAGCTGCTTGTTATTTTTCGATTATATCTTCTCCTTGGGCGTGATCGAGGGGCGATTCTATATTTTCACATTTGTTTGCCCCAATTCCTCTAGGGTAGGAAATCATGGCGCGACTCGGCCGCGTTGGGTTCCTGACCCTCGCGGTAGTATTTCACCTAATGTACGCCTACTCGATCTTCGACATCTACTTCGTCAGCCCGATCGTAAGTGGCATGAAGCCATTCGGCGTCGAACGTGAACCCAACACCGAAGCACCAGCAAAACGCCTCTTCCTATTTGTCGCAGATGGCCTACGTGCTGACAAGGCCTTCCAACCTCTACCAGACCCGTCGCCGGAGAACCCTGCGGACGAGAACAGTGGCCCGATACACCTTGCACCATTTATTCGATCGCGGGCACTTTCGCATGGGACGTTTGGGATTTCGCATACCCGTGTGCCTACTGAGTCGAGACCGGGCCATGTTGCGCTTATTGCGGGATTGTATGAGGATGTGTCGTCGGTGACGACGGGGTGGAAGTTGAACCCGGTGAACTTTGATAGTGTGTTTAATCGCAGTCGGCATACGTGGAGTTGGGGGAGTCCGGATATCTTAGCGATGTTCAAGGAGGGGGCGGTTCCTGGGAGGGTTGATACGGATATGTATGGGGAAGAGGCGGAGGACTTTACGACTGATGCGACGCTGTTAGATACTTGGGTGTTTGATAAGGTGAAGGAGCTTTTTGCGTCGGCGAAGGTGGATCCGGAACTAAATGCGAAGCTGCGCGAGGATAAACTGGTGTTTTTCCTGCATCTTCTTGGTTTGGATACTACCGGCCATGCGTACCGTCCTTATTCTAAGGAATATTTGCACAACATCAAGGTCGTGGATCAAGGGGTCAAAGAAATCACAAAGATTGTGGAGGACTTTTACAATGACGATAAGACTGCGTTTATTTTCACCGCGGACCACGGCATGAGTGATTTGGGTAGCCACGGCGACGGACATCCTGACAACACCAGAACCCCCTTGGTCGCCTGGGGATCTGGCGTGGCTACTCCGCGGTCGCCTCAAGAGGGCGCTCCATCAGGCCATGAAGATGGAGTCTCGTCTGACTGGGCTCTGGACACTATCCAACGCCACGATGTCGCGCAGGCCGATGTCGCTGCCCTGATGACATACTTGGCTGGACTTGACTTTCCTGTTAACTCTGTGGGGCAATTGCCATTGGACTACATCAATGCTAGTCCTAAGGAGAAGGCGCTAGCTTCGTTCGCGAACGCGCGGGAGATTCTGGAAATGTACCGTGTCAAAGAGGAGCAAAAGCGCGCCGTGTTGCTTCGGTATACGCCCTATGGGCCGTTAGCGGACCACGGTGAGACCTCTGTGGAGGAGCACCTCAGGTCGATTGACGGATTGATCACTGCTGGCGCATACGATGAGTCTATTACAATGTCTTCTGCCCTGATGGTAACTTCCCTGGAAGGTCTCCGCTACTTGCAGACGTATGACTGGCTGTTCCTCAGAACAATTGTCACCTTGGGATATTTGGGGTGGATTGCTTACGCATTGACCACTGTCATTGACTTGCACGTTCTGCACGGAACTTCCGATTCGAATCGCACGCTGGGGAGTGCCATTTTCTTCTCGTCCATTTTGGTCGCTCTATTTTCTGTTCTGCTGTACCAGCAGTCCTCTTGGAGGTACTACTTCTATGCGGCGTTCCCGATCTATTTCTGGGAGGAAGTGATTGCTCGAAAAAAGGCGTTGTCTGCTGGTCGCGCGATCTTGCTGGGCCATGTTGATTCTGCTGCGAAGTATTTAAGTTTTGGAGCTCAGGTTGTGATATTCCTTGGTGTTCTGGAAGGATTGGTCCAATCTTATTTTCATCGGGAGATCTTCACAGTTTGTTTTGTGCTAGGTACGCTGTGGCCCGTCGCGTATGGCGTTAAGTTTGTCAAGAAGCATGCGTTCCTATCAGCGACATGGGCCATCGGTTGCTGTCTTATGAGTACATTTACTCTCTTGCCGGTCGTTAAGATGGAAAACATTACCACGATAACCCAAGGCGCTTTGTTGATGTTCTTTACCGGTCTCCTGTATCTTCTCTTCGAGGGCGATATCTTGAAGCGGAGCAAGACACAGGCGTCAGATGCTGTGAAAAACAGTGGTTCGCGGGTTATCATGGGCATGCAAATTGGCATGGTGTTGCTTGCGACGATTGTTACCCGTTCCAGTGCTGCTTCTCTGCAAGCTAAGCAAGGACTTCCACTTGGTAATCAGGTGGTTGGATGGGGCGTTCTGGTTGCATCTCTGCTGTTGCCCTTCTTCCACCGTCTGTATCCCAATGGCCACTATATCCACCGGTTGATGGTGCTCTTCCTTACATTCTCGCCTACCTTTATCATCCTCACCATTTCCTACGAGGGACTGTTCTACTTTGTGTTTTGCATGACCTTGATCACCTGGGTCCGACTTGAACATGCAATCTACGTCCATACCGCTGCACCGCCCAAACCAATCGGCAAAGCAAACGACATCCCCAAGAAACAAAGCACCGAAACCACCACAACCGTCTCAAGCCAAACCTACCACTACCGCTCCCTAACTCTGTCCGATACTCGCGTGGCCCTGTTCTTCTTCTTCCTCCTCCAATCCGCATTCTTCAGCACGGGCAACATCGCCTCCATCTCCTCCTTCTCCCTCGAATCCGTGTACCGCCTCATTCCCGTCTTCAACCCCTTCAGCCAAGGCGCCCTCCTAATTCTCAAACTCCTAATCCCGTTTGCAATCATCAGC